ATGTCTTAATAAATGTAATAATAGTACATAATGAAATTTCATTCAAATATAAAAAACTATTTCCTAATTGAATTCTTTCTTCAACTGTTTTATTGTAAAAGACATTTCTTTTTGTATGAATACTTTATGAGTATAAAACAACAAAACATTTATCAATGATCAAGTTGAAAAGAAAAAAACACCTATTGATTTATACAACAATTGAATATAACATTATCGAATTACGCAATACTAACAGAACTAGATGACATCTCAAAGTCGAGAATCCGAGATGAGGTGCAAAGCACGAATATCGACTATGTCAAATCATCAACTTTTCGAAAAAATCCATTTTGAGACTCAAAACTGAATGATATTTCTATGGATCGTTATAACTGGAACAACTCGTAGTTTCCTTCATCAGCTAATCACAGCCTAATATAAAATGGAAAGTAACTATTGTAGAATTCATCGCTACGAGAACTTCATGAAAGCCCGTCAATGTTCTTCTAAAGAAAATTATCGATTGATTGTTCACTTATCTATATGATTCATTATCTCTCATCAACTGTACTTACACCTGTTTCATATTTATGCAAAGACAATTGCGTCTTATTTTCGTTGTAATTATGTTGAAACTTGAAAAATATTAAAGTCCTCAAAAATTTACCTTTCTTGGATCCTATTTGTATGCGAACGGGACATCATAACATAAATTGAAGAAAAAAGAAGTTTCAGTTCGATCTCGATGCAAGTAAGCTTAGCAGCCTATTTGAGTTTTTTTGAGAAAATATTCGCAAACAGATTTGTGCCAACAAAGACATCAGTTATGTCTGATAGAGCATCGAATATGCTATGGAATGCATACTTTTCAAAAAGTTTCCATCGTGCCAACCGATTGAAAGGTTCGAAAAATTAGTTTTAAAATATTGATTTTATTTTAAAAAAATCAGTATTTCAACCTCATAATCGTCCCAAGACTTGTGCCACCGAGAAGAACAGCTGTGCCAGATAGAGCTCGATGAGATCTATCGACTAGTATCAGATTTAGGGGTGGAGTGTGAGTGTGAGTATGGATATTGGTAGATTCTAAGTGAGAACAAGCCACACATCCAAATATTAATATCCAGTTGGACACCCACACCCTTAAGACAATAACAATCAAAAATGATGTTATGACCTGTATATAATAAGAGCATATGTTTTAACAGGCATAATTTCCTCTCTATTAATATAACAAAACATTCGTTCGACATGATCAAGTTTATCATCAAATGATTAAAAAAAAAGAATAAGAAATAAATTAGTCCGTATGTGGTTTCATGAGCCATTCTGTTGCTTTTGTCAATTTTTCACGTATAACAGTCCATATATCTTAAAAAGAAAAAGAAAATCTTATAAAAATTTGAATTTGTTCAGCAAATAAAAGATTTGAAAATCAATTCATATTAAGACTATTTTCTTAGTATAATAACAATTATATCTGAAGTTAAAATCAGGCATGATCTTCTATTTATAAATTTTCTACACAATTAGTTAATTATTGTTGGTCTTCTCTATGAATTTTTCTGTCCCAATAAGTTTCTGTAAAATGAGATTTTTTAATGAAAAATAATTTCATTAAAAGGGAACTTTTTGATTAAAATGTTTGTTAGAAACTTCAGAAAATAAGACCTTGAAAAACTGTTCCGCAACGTTTGTTCTTCTTCTTCTTCTTCTAATTCAAAATTTGAATAGTGTACGAAATGAAGTCTAGTAAAACAAAAAAGCTATTTGCATTTTAATAGTGACTGAAATCAACGCATTAACGATGTTGTTCAATATATTAATTTTTTGTTTCATAGTCAAAAAATTTATGAATTATTTATGATATATCATGAAGGAAACCCTTAGAACTTCATTGAAAAAAAACAATTCTTTTTTCAACGAAAGATTAGAAATGTCAGTCTATAAGCGAAGTTAAAAACATATGTTTTCTTTGTTTTAAAATTATCCTTACAAGAGACATGTCACAGATCATCCTCATGATCTTTTTCATATATTGAAAGTGTTAAGAAAAATTCAACTTTTTAAACTTTAAATATAAATAATGCACTTACTATAATCGAAATGATCTTCTATAACATGATGACAATCACAGCAAATTAGCATATTTTCATTATTGAGACTCCAAAGAATAGGATATTTAAGTAGTGTTTCATGATCATAAGTGCAAATTCGATGTTCTTCTTTACATTTGTGACAATAATTGTCCATTTTTATAAAGATGAATAATTTCAATATTTCGTTTTCTAAAACCAATAAAAAATAATAATACATCAACAATTTTTAGGATTATTTTATGTTCTATTAGAAACGAAACTCAAGTTAAATTCATTCTTTCATATTTGTTCAAACAAGAAAAATGCACATTTTTCAATAACAAAAGTAAAAATCAACAGACTATAAATCTTCATTGAGAATTAAATGTTTGGTCACTGAATTTATCACTGATTAATCAAATTTCGATTGAGAAAATGAGAAATTCACTTTTTATTCGTCTTTTATTTTCAGATATTGATGAGAAACCACAATGCTTTTTAGTGAAACAAAGCCATGTCAAATGATTAATCAACATTACAATCAATGATAACTCGAAGCTTATCAACTAGTGATAAATGAATGCAAAAAAAAAATATCGAAATGAAATAAAACATTTATATTAAAAGTTTTTTTTGAAACAGGTTGCTTTTAATTTTATTAAATTATCAATGAAAGAAACACAGTCTCTAGATGGCATTGCTATATAGTACCATTGCCAATTAAAGCTGATATATTTTATGTTGGCTTCTTGTTTCAATGATAATTAGTGAGAATCAGGGCTGGCGCAACCAGGCGTTTTTGCGGTAGGAATAGTCTCCCAATATTTTAGAACATATCTTTAGCACTTAAAACTCCCCCTTCCCACCATTAGGCGTCTACTCCCCATGACAATAATTTGTCGAAGGTAATGCAAGCCCACCTAATGACTTAAAAAAAAATCAAGAAAAATTCACCACTTCCGTGAACTTTATGTCAAAAAAATGAAAAAAAAAGCCTTGAATATTAGATGATGAAATGGACATATTATTTGATGCTTTTAAAAACTTGCTAATTAAAATTATGCTTCCAATCAATAAATTTTTGAAAAATTACAGAATATATCCATTTTATAATCTAAAATGACATTGTTTTTTTGACATAATATTCTTGAAAATGATAAATTCTGTTCATTTTTAAGTTCATCGAACATTAAGGTCAAATAATATACTTATAGAGAAATGAAAAATTGAAACGATTTGACTGATAATCTCTACTGTTGTAAAATTAAATAATCAATATGCTCTTCAATCTAATTTGTTCGTTCAATAATAGCTTTTCTCGTATACTGAGTAGCTTCATACATCTATTTGACGTATTCATAATTCTACTTTTACGTTGCACTCTTATTTCCTTGCATCCTATTCTATGATATTTGCAGGAATATTTCAAACGGAAGAGTCGGAAGAAGAATCAAAGTCACTCTTTGTCTTCTAAAATTTTCTTTTCTTGCTTGATCATTTATAAAAGTTTTTAAGGTATCCTTTTTGAAAAATTTTCGATGTTCTTTGAAAATTTTTACAGTTTGTAAAATTTTTTTTCGAGAAAGAGAAAAAATAAAAGTTTGAAAACTATAAAAGAATTGTCGACCGATATCTCTCCCTACTTCTTTCCAAGTTTTTCACTTCGGAACATTTTCTTGACATATAAATGCGAAGTCACATTTTTATCCGTCTTCTACAACAACAGTGAGCTTTTTCTTGTGAAGTGCTTTTTTTTTAAAGGACGGGGGCGCATAAGACCACAAATCGGCCCATTAGGAATTTT